CCACTGAGTCTTAAACCTCAAACTTCACAGCAGATTTCAATTTATTGTAATGTTTACCTTCAGTAAACAACTGGATATGTAGAAGATGGGTATTAGTGGATACCTGTAGGGAGACACACTAGCCCCACCCAATAGTCATGGGACAGGTGCCAGGTGGACCTGGGACTCGCCCATAAGGGCGTGGTGGAGGGAAGCCAGGGTGACGTAAGGGAGCTTCTCAAGGGCTGCACTGGAAGACCCTAGCCCTTTTTCTGGCCGCACTTGCTGGGTTCCTGTAACCTCGTTCTGGTCTGCATCTTGCCCTGGTGTTTTCTTGAATCAAGAGACTTCACCATCCCGGATCACAGTTCATCTTTGAGCACACGCTGCAACCTTTAATCTTCAATTGGCGCCCAACGTGGGGCTTTTTTGTTTTGTTTGTTTGTTTTTTGGTTTTTCGAGACAGGGTTTCTCTGTGTAGCTTTGGAGCCTATCCTGGCACTCTCTCTGGAGACCAGGCTGGCCTCGAACTCACAGAGATCCACCTGCCTCTGCCTCCTGAGTGCTGGGATTAAAGGCGTGTGCCACCAACACCCGGCCGCAGGAGACCCAGCCCCGGCCTTACCCGGCTCCCCGGCCGACTGGAGAGTTCTCCTGCACACTCACTTTAGCTACCTGTGTGTGCATAGGGACCTGAACACAGGAGCTGCCTGCGCGCACAGCAGAGGGTTTTCAGCTTTCATCCACAGGGAAAGCACCCCTCCTCCCCGCTGCGCTTCTGCTTGCCCCCGCTGCTTCACGCTGCTACCATTTCCCTGTTCCTGCCTGCCTGTCCACACTTGCGGCCGCTGTCTGCGGCCAGACCCTGGCAGGGGAAGCTTTTCAACTCTAGCTGTGGGCACAGCCACCTGCCTGATGCAAATACCCGCCAGGTCCGTTCTAAAGAGTTCCTTAGCGGCAAAAGCAGTTTTTCTGTGAGTCCGATCCTACTCTAGATAGACGCGGCTACGCCACCTGCTGGCCAGATGTGGTTACTGCAACCGGAAATGGAATTACCAATAAATATGGCTGCATTTCCTTTGCAGTTAGACATGTATAACATATCTTATTCTTATATGAATTCACTGCTGTAGGAGCAGGCTGACTTGCAAAATATTGGCTTATATGTCTTGTTAGCTGTGACTTTATTGATTCACGTGTCGTTGTTCCTCAGGAACAGAAGGAAGTCTGATTTCTCCACCCACTTGCAGGACATACAAGCCTTACGTAGCCAGGCTCTAAATGAATCAAAAGTTACCTATTCATTGCTTCTTGAGCTGTTAGAACAAAAACTGGATGATAGGCTTTGTTCAATGTTCTATACGATGCAGGCAGATCTGTCTACTACTCAAGCTGAAGTGCAGCACATTTATAACAACATGAAAATAGACAGATGCTCCATCTTAGAGTCTTTACAGGCTGATCTGGCAAAGGACTGTGATGAGATTCAGGAACTGAAATCTAGTTTAGGGATGCTACAAACTAAACAGGCTACAGACCATGGTGCCTTAATGGCTAGGCAGGCAGAAGACTGTGGATTGTTGGAGACGGCATGCAGCCACTTAGAAACTGAGCTAGGCTCTCTCTCCTATTCCTTTGTTACTAAGGTACAAAATACCCAGAATAGGCTTCAACAATCAAATAATGCCACTAAGTCAATAGCTGGGAAATGTGAGAGGGACTATAATGAACTTAGAACTGAGTTTCAAAGCTTACAGGAGGAGTTACAGACCAGGGTCACCAAACTGGAAATGTCTACCGAGTTCATGGCAGAGATTAATTGCAACCTTGATTCTAAATTTCAATCTCTGGATGGCTATTTCCAGGCCACCCAAATGCTAGCTAGGGATGAACATATTACCCGTCTAGAAAATCTTACAGATTTGTCGAAGCAAATCGTGGATTCCGCATCGCTCCTTGAATCTTTTATGGTGGATGAAATTAAAGCCTCTCATGAGGAAATTCTGACCCAGCTGACATATCTTGAACAAGAAGACACTGACTCACTCCAATCTGAGATGCACAATTCGAGAAGGTATTTCAATCACCCTAAAGTGGTTACACACACACCTTTAGTCTACCTGGCCATGGTAGTGGACAAGCAACCATCTAAAAAACACTCCCAGGGGCAGACAGCATATACGTGGCAACCAACCCAATTAAAGGATCTTAGGTACATTAAAGAATCGGTTGTCCCATATGGTCTTCATAGCCCATATGTAAAACAGCTGTTGCATCCATGGGCCACCTTTAACAGGGTGACACCTGCAGATCAAGTAGGATTGGCATCAGCTGTCCTTGAGAATTCTTGCCTAATTGAATGGAGGGCATTATTCACGGAAGAAGGCAGACTCCTAGAACGGCAAGCCACCAGGGACAGAGTTGATGCACCCCTCCAAAAAAATCCTAGGAGAAGGTATTTATGCTGACCCACAGATTCAGGCTGAATATGATGACCATATGATGTCCCTATGCAGGACAGCAGCACTAAATGCATGGGACAAGATTCGTGAATCAGGAGAACAACTAGAAGCTTTTGCAAAAATAGAACAGGGACAAACAGAACCATTTAAAGACTTCTTAGACAGATTGACCAGAGCAGTAGACAAACAGGTAGCAGATTCAACGATACGACATTCAATTGTGTATAGCTTAGCTTATGACAGTGCAAACCCAATGTGCAAAAGAATACTTTTGCCTCTAAAGATCAGATCA